TTAAGAACATAGACGGCGAAACCCCAAGCTTTCAGACAGAGGGTGCAGATAGTATGTGTAGTGGCAATGGAAAATGCATGGAACACGAACAAAGCCAGATGCCTCATAAGACAACAGTCAGTTAGTCAATGGATGCCAGTAAAGATGAAACTGTATGTACACAAACAGGACAAAACACTCCGGCAAATTTCTGGCAGGCAACATCGGAACACGATGAAAGGTACTGTTGTAAACATACAAAGTTATATAATGTTTGTCTAATAGCCTCTTGCTGCTTCACAAATTATTCAAAGTCTGTTGAATTTGCCTCCAGTGGAGAAAAAAGTCCTTGAGTAAAGATGGCACTGTTTGGTATCTGCTGCTGTAGTTACAATATAGTAAGGGACTGTTATATACATTGTAAGAGACAATCCACATTTGTTTTATGGTAAATCATGAGACAGATAAATACAAGTTTGTCATCCGGAAAAATATTGCCTAAGTCTTGGATCAATTTTGCAAAACGGGAGTGATTTCTCAGCATTTCAATAAATGAACCGTCAATAAGTTAATCGCTATGAGAATTTTGATAAATCAGGGAAAACCGAACGCTTGGAAGCGATACGAATATTATATGTAGAGAACAGTATTCACTTTATTTTGGATGTTAATACCCATCTAAATTCAAGATTCAAGTATGTCGAACTAAACATGTTCCTGGACCATCATTCACGTCACGCCAGGACCACTAATCGCTTACTGTACATCCCATTTGTCAATATATTTTGTATCTGTCGATACACAATGCTGTTCCATTAATTTGGTCACTTCTCTATCATATTAGTCTGGCTTTAGTGACCTTTAACAGGTCTAGCTGATAGCTGTAAAGAATGGGTTTTTTCAACGGATTTGTTTTACTATTATGAGGATTTGAAGAAATTGCTTTTTTACATAATTGTTCATACAGGTACATAAACCATTTTCTAACTTTCGTAAAAATGCACCATTTTGTTGAAATCGTTTGGTATTGTCATTTACTAATTTGGTATCTGGAATCCAATCACATAATATCACATCGACAAAGCGGTTTTAGATCTAAGCGAGGTGCCAATGATCATTTGGTTAGACTTGAAACTTTTGTGGGTGAGGCTTTTCTAAAGAAAAAGCACTTGATTGCTGTTTTCTTCGATGTGGAAAAGGCTTACGACGCAATGTGGAAATACGGCATAAAATTTGGTAGATTACCTCTAATACCTACATCGTGCAGATCTTTCATTATCTCAAATTTTCTATCAGATAGAGTATTTCAACGAAGCTAACGAACCATCACTATATAGCCGTCGAAATAAATTGACTTTCCAATACACCATTCAGCTGAAGTCAAATCCTTAAAATCCTGCTTTTTAACTTATATTTGTTCCAAAATATAAAATCTTGTTTCAAAACATACCAAACACCATTCCACCATTCGATATTCGGATTTCCACTCTTTTACAAAACACAAATATTGATATTGCCCAAATTCAGTCATTTGGAACGATAGAAATTCCACCCTGGCCCTTGAATTCACCTGAAGTTGACTTTTCACTTCATGAAATGGTTAAATCAAACACTGGCAATTGCACCTTCCGGTCGTTCTTCCCGAAATTTACAGTTAAAATATGAAACATTTCTACCTTTATACACTGATGGTTCAAAAGATAATGATAAGGTTGCCGCGGCCATGGTTTCACAAGATGAAGATATTCTCGGCGCAAGGGCAATCTATTCAGACTCTCTTTCTGTACTATAAAGTCTTAGTAATAGAAATGTCGAAAATATTTTCATTCGTAATACATTAATACTATATCTTGAACTTGCCTTTAACTTTCGTATTGCTTTTACTGGGTTCCTGGACACATGGGAATACCAGGAAATGAAAAAGCAGATCGTACCGCAAAGGAAGGTTTATCGTTACCACCTGTTGCTTTTAAAATTAATTTTACTGGTTTTAAACCATTTATCGAACATTTTCAACAGCTCAGTGGCAGGTGGAATTGAATCAGTTAACTGACAATAAATTGCACACCGTAAAACCTATTATCGGTGAATGGTCTCCATGCTATAGAGATAACCACTGAGACGAATATATTGTATATATTGATATAATGAAGTTTACTAGAAATATTATAATACATATAGACAGAACTTTCAAGTTCTTACAATATAACTTCATGCAATTACTCCAGTGTATTCGAACAAGCACAAGACAAATATCCAATACGCATACATGCTTTTTAATGTAGCTATCGATGCAATATCAATATCTACTGTAGGTATATTCAATTTAAAAAAAAACATGCATACATTTATGATCTTAACATTTAAAATATTAAATTTAGATTTTTTTCCAGAAACGACGGATCACCGTTCAAAATATCTAATGATCTACATGGGCTTCGGTCAACAAATGTCATTCCTGTAGATCAGGAGCCACAGCATGACGTTCGTAACTGGAGGGATCAACCCCCAGGGAAATTTTCAAATGACCACAATAGGCAACAAGCGATTCAACAACCAAATCCACTTTCACAGGACGTCCCCGACGACAAAGAACAATCATCTGACCCTTCAAAACAAAAAAATCCGAATCCACTTTTACAGGATGTTGTCCCTGACAACAAAGAACAAGCATTTGACCCTTCAAATCAAAAGGATGCTGGTGGTGCCACTAAACAGCCTCCAGGTCCATTTTTACAGAATTGTACTTTTGGTCAGAAACAGTTATCAGAGCCAATGTTCCATCGAACCGTCAATGGTGGTACATATGAAACAAACAAACAGGTTAAAACTGATTGCACTGGTGAAGCTTCAGATCTAAAAACAAAAGGGGATGAGGATTCGAGTTGCACCGATCCACTTCCTGCGTCTTATCCAGAGCACGTTGATCATGGTGGGAAGGATCCAATTTTGGACGATGTAATACTGCCAAATGTCACGAATAGCAATGTTCAACCACTAGAAATGTCATCACAATATGACTTTGCCAGTAACAAAGATCAACTTCTAGAAGTATTGTCACAGGAGGGCATTCCTGTGAGCATGAGCCATACAACATTGACAGAAGCACAACCGGAAAATCAATGTTCAAATCGATCGAATATGTTCCATCAGCAACCAGCAGATCAGAAGTCACAGCACGACGTTCGTAACTGGAGGGATCAACCCCCAGGGAAATTTTCAAATGGCCACAATAGGCAACAAGCGAATCACCATCCGAATCCACTTTCACCGGACGTTGTCTCTGACAGCAAAGAACAGTCATCTGACCCTTCATATCAAAATCAACCGAATCCACTTTCACCGGACGTTGTCTCTGACAGCAAAGAACAGTCATCTGACCCTTCAAAACAAAACAATCCGCATCCACTTTTACAGGATGTTATCACTGACATCAAAGAACAGTCATCTGACCCTTCAAAACAAAAAGATGCTGGTGGTACCACTAAACAGCCTCCAGGCCCATATTTACAGAATAACACTTTTGGTCAGAAGCATCAGTTATCAAGGCCAATGTTCCATCGAATCGTCAATGTTAATACATATGAAATAAACAAACAGGTCAATGCTGATAGCACCTATGAAGCTTCAGATCTAAAAACAAAAGGGGATGAGGATTCGAGTTGCACCAATCCACTTCCTGCGTCATATCCAGAGCACGTTGATCATGGTGAGAAGGATCCAATTTCGGACGAAGTAATACCGGCAAATGTCACTGATAGCAAAGTTCAACCACTAGAAATGTCATCACAATGTGACTTTGCCAGTAACAAAGATCAACTTCTAGAAGTATTGTCACAGGAGGGCGTTCCTGTGAGCGTCAGCCATACAACATTGACAGGAGCACAACCGGAAAATCACTGTTCAAATCGAGAGAATAGGTACAATCAGCAACCAGCAGATCAGGACCCACAGCACGACGTTCGTAACTGGAGAGATCAACCCCCAGGGAAATTTCCAAATGACCACAATAGGCAACAAGCGAATCACCATCCGAATCCACTTTCACCGGACGTTGTCCCTGACAACAAAGAAAAATCATCTGACCCTTCAAATCAAAATCAACCGAACCCACTTTCATCGGACGTTGTCTCTGACAGCAAAGAACAGTCATTTGACCCTTCAAAACAAAAAAAATCCGCATCCACTTTCACCGGACGTTGTCTCTGACAGCAAAGAACAGTCATCTGACCCTTCAAAACAAAACAATCCGAATCCACTTTTACAGGATGTTATCACTGACATCAAAGAACAGTCATCTGACCCTTCAAAACAAAAAGATGCTGGTGGTACCACTAAACAGCCTCCAGGCCCATATTTACAGAATAGCACTTTTGGTCAGAAGCATCAGTTATCAAGGCCAATGTTCCATCGAATCGTCAATGTTAATACATATGAAACAGACAAACAGGTCAATGCTGATAGCACCGATGAAGCTTCAGATCTAAAAACAAAAGGGGATGAGGATTCGAGTTGCACCGATCCACTTCCTGCGTCATATCCAGAGCACGTTGATCATGGTGAGAAGGATCCAATTTTGGACGAAGTAATACCGCCAAATGTCACTGATAGTAAAGTTCAACGACCAGAAATGTCATCACAATGTGACCCGAACCTACAGGTCAATGGCACAAGTCAATGCACCCCATCTCAACTTTACAATGTTAAACGGTCTGGATCTCTCTCATATAAAAACAAACCTCGTTGTCAAGATCAACGTACAAGACACCGACAGCAGGAATTTTCTGGACGCAATGACGAACAACAGCAAGATTATGGTCGTCAGAATCACCAGTCAGAATCGCCTTCACAACTTCCTATATCTGATCGTCTTCCAGAGCTATCCAGGCAGCAGGAGGTATCCGTTCATCTGAATCAACCTGAAATAACCCACTCTCTGCAGCATGTGCCAGAGTGTCAAGAAGAGGATACATTGGTGCAGGTGCATACAAGGTCCACCGTAAACCCATCTGAAGAGAATATATCGGTCAATGACCTGCTAACGGAAGCAACGGCAAGCTTGAATAACAATATGCAAAGTGTGGCAGGATCAGTTTTACAGGATGACATCTCGAGTCAATTTATTCAGCTTAATGACTCCGTTAGATTAGGTAATACCATTATGATTCATTTTGAAGATCAACAGGACGTTCAACACAGCAGGAATTGGCACCCTAGACAACAGCAACGCCATAATGAAGGGGTAGGCATGACACAAAACGTTGTTTTTCAGTACGCCGTAATCAATTTAATGACAACGGCGATCAGTGTCTATAATGCATTAATTAAATAACCTTAAATGTGATAGACTATTGATGCAGTTTTTCAACACTTTTTTATAGGTAAAGCATACCCATATCGCTTCCTTGCTGTCGAAATCTTAATCGTTTGTAAATGAAAAAATAAAATAAAATATCATAGGTACTACATCTAAAACGTAACACCATATCGTATAGTATTGATACAAATCGCCACTCTTTTACAGAGGAGACACAGACATGCTCTTCGGCCATGGGATGAAGACTATGGTTTGTATAATATTTCTTTAACTGCCTGAAGATTTGATCTTACGAACTAAATTATAGAGTCTGCTGTCTCAATCGGACATTAAATGGTATGAAAATCGCATTAATAGACGATACATCGAATTTTCTAATTTAAATTATGATTAATACTTACTAAAAGTATGCAATTTATACTTACAGAAGCAATATCTGTCAATTCATTTTTTTATACTCTGAATAGAAAGGATTTAGAAAGCAGACTTGTTTGGAAAAAAATAAATCATTAAATGCAACAAACTCGAATTAATCTACAACATTGTATTGCAGTTCACGCACTGAGGGGACCTGTGATCTATCTCAGTAGTGCGGCGACCGGTCGGGTGAGAATGATATGATTCCAGCTTACAAAAATATATACCCTGATTTAATCTTGTATGCATGCTTTAAAGACAAATTTTAAAATGCTGCAAAATATCATTATTAGGTATTATGACTAACCTAGAAATTGTTTTTTTTAGACTGTTTTTGCCACCGGATCAACTCGTCCCCTTGGAAGAGACACCGTTGATGGTAAATATTATATTTTACCCAATACTTTGTATTTTAGCATACCTCAATAATATGCAAGGGGGAGGGGAAGACAACTTTTATTTTGTAACCCAGAGAGAGAGAGAGAGAGAGAGAGAGAGAGAGAGAGAGAGAGAGAGAGAGTCATTGGCCTTTAACTTCTGCTTTTCTTAATAAATAACGATCACTCGTTCATGAAAGTAACCGTATCTGGCATGATTTTCTCTGAATTGTGATACATGCTGTTTTGGACTAAGAGACGTCCAGACACAATGAAAGACCGTAATCATCTACTGAACTCGTCTTGAGGGACGGTGAACATTTCAACAGTACTTGTGATAATGCATGAAATAATAAAAAAAACATGAGAGTTAAATATTGGATCTAGCTTGGACACTTGGTTGTTTTTGTGCACTCCTCTGTGTTCAGAAATTAGAATCGTTATTTTGCTCTACTGTATGTTTTTTATGGAAATTTATCTTTATTTTCAGAAACGTATCTTTCACACGAGTACATGATGTGCATAGTTTGCAGAAACAGGCCCGTAGATGCACAACTGCAGCCCTGCTGTCACACAATCTACTGTCATGAGTGCGCGGTATCACAGCCGTTCTGCCGAATGTGCGGCCAACTGGTGGAGGACTTCATTATACAATGATAACAAGTTGGCCCTCCATTTGATAGGTTTAAATTATTTACTCTCCTCCCCGAGGACAGTGGTTTGGTAGCTGTTATATAATATCTCCGTATAAAAGTGTCGAGCCTTTTAACAGAATGTAGAGCTCATTCTTACCTTGAAACTTCCTTTGATGATAGTATCAAAGTCTTGCGTCATGTCTAGTGCTATGTATGCATGAAGTAATACTTGTTGAAGTGCTACTTTTGAATTGGCTGTCCATTTTTTCTGTCCTTTCTGTATTTTTTTAAAGTTCTTTTTTCAAGATATTTTTGTATGATACAAACTTTACACATTTTTGTATCACTATCACCACAATAAAGCAACATGTTGTTACATCATTTTTTACTTATAACAATGCGGGACACAATGTATATGTTAGTTAGGGAATTATAACAAAATGCAGATGAAAAGATTGCCACTATAATTGATCCATAATTAAAGTTATACCTTTATGAAAATAATCTTATTCTTTATACAGTTAAAAATGCTCGTTTGACTCACAAATTCAAATATCATGGTTTTTTTATCTACAAAGGAGGGAAAAAGCAGAGCATTTTCAAAGATTTTCAAATTTTTTTCTTAAGTTCTTCCCTACATTCCTATAAAATGGGAGCGATTGTCTCCCTTTCAGTGATACAAAAACAGCATTTAAACCAGAATGGAGTGTTAAGTATGATGATTAATTCTAACTTAAAATCATGGTAATGTGGTATTACTCGTTACCCTGAAAAGAAAAATTTGTTTTTCTCAAGACTCCATATGATATTCAAATATATTTCCCAAATTAATATGTGCTGTTATAGAAAGACCATTTGTAATAAGCATTGGATAACAATCGTGTGATCTTCTTTCTTTTTCAAGATACAACGGTATTAATGGGTATATCAATTTTTATTTAATTTTCTAGAGAATTGTTTATACTCGGAGATACATGTAGTTTTGTGCGTGCCGACTTAATAAAAATTATTCTTCAACGAGACAGAATTATCTGTATATTTCAAATTCTATTTAAATTTGTATAGAGAGATGTTATTCAATTAAAGAACCTATGTTGAGTTTATTCTTTTGCTGGAACCTCCCTGAACGACTGGATCAGTAACCTAAATCAAGATTAGACTTGCATATCTGAGCAAAAGGATTAAGTATGAACTGCTCTAGAGTTTATTGCCTAGCCTTGTATGTAGGTGCCAGTGTAAAATAGCAATTTGTTCATCCAGTCTTCTGAATTCCTGGATATATTGTTTTGCTATCTCCACCCAGAAATTTAATATCTTTTTGACAATGAATATTAATAACAATATATAAATGACAAACAGAAAGTTAAGTAAGTAAGTAGAGGTGTGTTTAGTGTTAATTCCGTATGATTATATTTATATAACACGAGGGAATGAATTACCAACATAAAAATGTATATTTAGAAGTTTAAGTGAATAGATAATTGCCAGGATAGGTCGAGTCTAAAATTCAACTAATGCTATTTATCTTTCTATTCAGAAGTATTTCAAAGATGTAGCCTTGAGCTTTTATGTAATCTTGTAATCAAGTAAATGTGTCACATCAAATGACTTACGTAGATAAGTGAATAAATGGTTTTGTAAATATACTGCTATATAAACATCTTGTTCTGTAAATACATGAATAATAATTATGTAAATCTAGTAAAATGCCTGCGTGGTTATATCATGAAGGAGGAAATAGTAAACAACAATATCGGAAACATCACTCTAAAACGTGATTGTCTCCCCTTCTCTGATGATTATTTGGAATATTGGTTGCTAAATCATAATGATTATCGCAACCGTTGATATCTTCTATTACTGTATCGCCCTAAATAGGGCAAAACTACCTGATTGTAATCAAACATTTTCCCGCATTTTATTTTTGTATTTCACAGTGAATCATAACCGATAGAAGAAATGTTAGAATAGATTATGGGTTATACTATTAACTTCCAGCAGATATAAACAAAAAATATCGAAGTAACGCTTTTGGTAAAGTACTATTAAATATTACGTTACTATACATAGTCACCTTAAAATGATGTAATTAGTGATAGCTGACTATCAATATAGGGACTTTCAGATTGTATTCAATATCCATGAAACATCTGAAATCCGGATTTTGTGCAAATTTAACGAAATGTGTAGTTTTGTACATTTTGTTCCCTTTCATTTTTATGTATAATTCTTGATAAACCAGCTCAAATTTTGGTCATTTTTTATTTTTTGACTTTTTTTAATTCATCCTTTGCAGTGAAATTTCTTGTCCAATGCTTGTAATGAACTATTCTTCATTAAAACATGTTTTCCACAGTTTTGTTGTTTTCAATTCTTTAACTCGAACTTCGGGAATGTCGTGTTCAAATTAAATGTATACCTGGTCATTAAATAAGAAGTTCACATACACGATTGCCTTCATGAAGCATTGATTGGTTATAATGTACAATGCATCGTCTACATATTGCAGACATTTTCAATGATGAAACAATACTACAATACAACCTCCTATCTAACAATAAGAAACACGAACCATCCTTATGATCTACACTGAACAGATAATGAAGTCTTGTAACTACGTATACATATAACTTATGATTCATTTTTATCATATCTACCATGCAGCAACAACATAATTTCGAATTTCAAACATATAAAAACGAAAGTAAACAATATATTTTCATTAAACGTGGATATAGATATAGAAATTTAAACAAAACTAATATCAATTATCGAAGCGGATAGAAAGAGGACAGAATATTAAAAAACACTTGATATTTTTTATCATGGAGGTAAAACCAAACAGGAGGCCTAGCGGCCTTGACGGTCACCTGAGATAAGCAATATTGAATATAAAGGTTAAGGGATAGTTATCAAATGTCATGAAACTGAAATTGTGACACTTACATAGACAGTGTCAAGACATGCATACCATCAAAACTGTCTTCCTATACCGATAATTCTTATAAAGTTATTCCCAGTGGGAGATTAACCAACGTTATGCTCAAAATTACAATTTTTTTCTATGAAAATTGCAGTGAAGTCTAAAAAAGATATTCCACACCAGAAAGAAATATGAGACTCATTTTGGTAATTACAGCAACTTAAGATGCTTCCATTCATGAAGAGTATTTGATTCTACCATATCTGGGTGTTGGGAATAAGATTATTGAAATTTAAGTCAATTTGATCCCCTATGGCCCCGCCCATCAGGTCCTGGGGGTAAGTCAGGATCAAAATTGGCATACCATCAAGCCGTCATCCTTCACTCATATTTCTAACCAAGTCTGAAAAATGCCCAATGGAAATTAAACAAATCATGCTAAAAAACTAGTTTTCTTATATAAGGTATAGTCACCTTTACCCCTTCCCCGCGGGGAAATGTGAGACTCTGGGGTCATGAAATTCACAATTTTGGTAAAGCTCCTTAAGATGCTTCCATTCATGAAGAGTATTTGATTCTACCATATCTGGGTGTTGGGAATAAGATTATTGAAACTTAAGTCAGTTTGATCCCCTTTGGCCCCGCCCATCAGGTCCTGGGGTAAGTCAGGATCAAAATGGGCATACCATCAAGCCGTCATCCTTCACCCATAATTCTAACCAAGTCTGAAAAATTTCTATTGGAAATTAAACAAATTATGCTCAAAAATCTAGTTTTCCTATATAATTTGATCCCTTTTGGCCCCGCCCCTCAGGCCTTGGTGGGGAGGAGGGGGGCTGTATTTACTATTTTCGTTCATCTTAGGCCAGGGAAGGTTTCTGCAAACTAGCTGAGTTTCCAAGGTTGAGCTGTGTCACTTTGAACGCAGCACTCCACGAATAAAGAATATTGGAAACTTAAAGAAATCTCTTTTATACTTCAGGTGAGTCATGTTTACTATAATATTTTTCTAACAAATACATATATTTCTTATTATTGAGTCTCAAGTTAGAATGGATTTTACTCTTGTCGTTCAGTATGTGTATGTAAATAATTATTGATTTTTTTTTATATATCATAATGTAAATAATCATTATTTTTGAGTTGTTGTAATGTTTTTACTATCAGAACAGTCAAATTAAAATTGTACTTTTAATTTGATAATTCTATTTTTTTCACAATTTCTAGCATTTTTACCTCACTCTGTTCGGAAATCCTAATCCTGTCCGGGATTGGTTTTAAATTTATATGTACTTGTAAGAAAATTACCAATATGTTATTTTTACAAGAATTTTAAGTTGACTCAAGAAATACTCGTTATGAATTATAAGGGAATATACGATTCGAAATAATGTTTCAATTACTGTTAATCGTCACCATACAATTGTTCATCCGAGAACGAGCCACTGGCTGCTATGAAATCAACAAGGCAGGGAGAGATAATCCTTGTTACTGTTCTCGGCATACACTTTAGTGTAATTACGACATGTACGCCTCAAATTTTAGAATATTCGTGAACTATAGCGATGATGCAATAACTGTGCGCATTGACTTATATTCCGGTTTAAGTCTTCCTGTTAATCGGCTTATTTTTTATAACAGGAGGATTAATCAACATTCTGTGGAATTTACTCCATTCAAACCATGTCCGCAAACAACTTTATGCATGCATGGAACTGTCTGGTCTGGAACTTGAGATTTTAAGGCATCGTCGGTGAATTTCTTGATATACGAAATATTATTAAAATAGACAAGTTTTGGATGGCATTCTCAGATTCGATTTCTCTATGGATCGCCTGACTTGGCCATTTTGAGTGTTGACGTGGGACCACTGGCCTTTGGTGGTGAACACTACCTATATATTCCTTTGTATCTGAAGTTAGTAAACAGAACACAAATAGATATTCAAGAAAGTAGAGTAAGGATATGTTAACGAAACGACATGATACCTGATAACTGTAACAAAGTTCTTCCCTAAATCAGTTATTACTCCATAAATTAGTCACATGACATACCCTTTTCGATGAGTCATTGCTCAGAAGTCGTGATGAACAGGTCGACATCTTGAAATCAGGTTATATCAATTGAGGTTTCTTTAGGAGAAGCATTTCCATTGTCCTTGCCACATTCTTGTGTGTTTCTTGACTTATATTTGTAATTTGGTGTAAAAGTTCAAAACTGCTTTCATATATTTTCAGAAAAAAATAAACGAATTCCATAGCAATATGACCATGGAAATGTCTGACATGTCATTAATCTACACGAGGAATCCTGTTTGGAATGATGCCATTTTATTTGTACTGTATGTTGTTCACGAACTTGTTGGAGTTGTGATACTTATTAGTATCTACCTTTTCCGAAAGAAATCCTCTGCATGTTTCTCTAACTATGGAACTACTTCTAAACGTAGCACAGTTGAAACGGACCATGAGCATCTGTATTATAAATCCAGTGTCATTAATGAATGCACTGAAGGACATGGACCAAGATTGGTTCCACCAAGAGGCAAATCTAGAGAATGGAGACAAAACCTGTTGTTAAAACATCACGAATCAAATCTCAGAAGATTGAACAACTTGTTCAACATAACAATTGACACTTATAAGAAAGACGAAGATGAAGGGAAAAGTGAAAAAAGAAAAGTCCTGTTTTCAGAGAGGTTTCTTCCTGTAGAAACTTCAATTATAGTTTACCCAGCTCGCCAAGATGAAGACATGAGTTCATCGACAGAAGCAACTAGCAATATCCACGGTTTGGAAGATCACAGATATGTCCAGGAAGACGAAGAGAATGTTGCTAATCAGAGGTCAGCAGAAGAGTCAGATTTCCAGGAAGATGAAGAGAATGTTGCTAATCAGAGGTCAGCTGAAAAGTCAGATTACAGACCAGAAAACAAGGATTCTGATAATGGTAGTTGGTATGTATGTTTCAGTTTTTTTGTTAAACCCTTCAACCTATTTCAAAATACTTTGAACGAAGTTGAACGAATAGAAATGACACAAATTTACCTCTTTAGATGTTTGGTTATGGCCAGATGACAGCAAATATCAAGTTATACAATATAAATACGACATATGAAATCAAATATAGAAAATAATACATACCTTTGAGCATTAGGATGTTAAATCTTGCAATGACATACAGTGTAAGAGGAAATAGAACTGGAGCATTAGGTCTCGCACTGGCCAAAAAGAATGTGCTTAACGGTCTTCATAGTGATCTCATTAAAAAATATTATATTTCTTTGTGCGATATGAATCTGGACATGTTTGATTCCTGTCAGTATTCCCGGGGCTTCTGTTGTTGTTTGCATTGTTCTCATTTGGGAATGTGACATTACTTACTTGAATTGACAAAGAATAACATGGCATGTTGTCGATGAGACAGTAGACATGTAACTTTCTGGAACACCTGGTCTTTGCAGATTTTCTGAAGTCTCCATTTAATTTTTATGTGTTCTTATTTTGCCCTAGTTTCAATGAATTTGAGATTGAATTAAGATTCTGGTTACATGTTGATAAGATATTTGTTTTTTTTATCAGAATTGCAAGAAAAGGCATAAGAGCAATGTTCTGTTTCTTTTCTGTCAAACTTAATACCGCACCAGAAGCTTTGAAGCAATTCCATATTAAAATATCACCAGTTAGTAATATTTGAAAAAATAACGGAACTGTCACTAACAATAAAGATACATTTGTACACAGTTTCAGTTCTGGAAAGCTTGCGGAAGATAATACTTCAGAGTCATTGGGTTTTATTGGACAAAGTAAGCAGCCAGAGTTTGAACCACTGAAAAGCAGACTGCATACATACAGTGAGTTTCCTGATCATCTGAAAACGAAAGTACAAGACTTGGCAACTGCTGGGTTTTACTTTAAAGGTTAGTAGTATGTTGTAGCTTGTTATATTAAGACACGATAAACATGCAGGTATTTGTAATGTTTTGAAATTAGACAACGCTGTTTCAGAAAGTTTAGAAGGGCAAATTACTTTGGAGGAAGCAACAATTACTTTGAAGTGTATGAAAAATAATAAAAGCCCAGGTACGGATGGTTTTACTGTCGAGTTTTTAAAATGTTTTTGGAAATATCTTGGGGGGTTCATTTTAAGGTCTATTAATTTGGGTTATGAAAAAGGGAGGTTATCGGTAACACAAAGGCAGGGGGTTATAGTATGTATTCCAAAGGGAGATAAGTCTAGACAATTTCTTAAGAATTGGCGACCAATTACATTGTTGAATATAGTATATAAAATTGCATCAGGAACCATAGCTAGAAGAATTAAGAAAGTTTTAGACACATTAATTAGTGAGGATCAGTCAGGTTTTATCTCAGGTCGTTATATTGGGGAGAACACAAGATTAATATATGACATTATGCAACATGTAGAGGAAAAAAATATTCCCGGAATGCTGTTAATGATAGATTTTGAGAAAGCATTTGATTCCGTTTCATGGAAATTTATTGACAAGGTTTTCAAATTCTTTAATTTTGGTCCAGATATTCGTAAATGGATAAAAGTTTTTCATACTAATGTCAGTGCTTTTGTTAATCAAGGTGGTAATGTATCTTCATCCATCAATATAAGAAGGGGCTGTCGACAAGGTGATCCAATCGCGCCATATATCTTTATTCTCTGTGTTGAAATTTTGGCCATTAAACTAAAACATAACAAAAACATTAAGGGTATAAACATCAGTAATATTCCAATTCTTATCTCACAATATGCAGACGACACCTCTCTTATATTAGATGGCTCTGAAATATCATTAAAAGAATCTATTTTAGAATTGAATGCTTTCGCAAAATTCTCTGGTTTGAATCTAAATATTGACAAAACACAAGTGATCTGGATAGGAAGTAAAAAATATAGTGAAGATACTTTGTTACCTGACTTGAAATTACAGTGGGGAAAGGTCAAATTCACGCTTCTTGGAATTGAATTCAGTGTCAATCTTCATGAAATTCCAAAATTAAACTATGATAAAAAATTAATTAAATTGAAATCTATCATTAAGATGTGGAATAGGAGATCACTGACTCCAATTGGGAAAATTCATCTTATTAAATCTTTAATGATATCACAGTTTAGCCATTTATTTATGTCTTTGCCAAACCCAGACAACCAGTTCTTGAATAAGCTCAATTCCATCCTTTTTAGCTTTTTATGGAACAGTAAAACTGACAAGGTAAAGAGAGATATTGTTACCCAGAATTTTGATAACGGTGGACTTAAAATGGTAGATATAAAGTTGTTTATAGATAGTCTGAAATTAGGCTGGATTAGAAGATTACACCAGAAATCTGCTAAATGGCAAGCAATTCTTCAAACATATATTGACCTACATATGCTATCTTCCTGTGGAAGTGATTACATTCAGAAATGTTGTAATATCTGTAGAAATAATTTCTGGAGTGATGTTTTCAAAGCCCTGTTGAGGTTCAGTGAAAGGGTGGGGGTAGAATATGTTAAGAAAAATATTTGGAAAACTCCTTTATGGTATAATAAAGATTTGTTGATAGGGAAGACAAGTATATTCTACAAGACATGGTATGATAAGGGAGTGATGATAGTTAATGATTTATTCAAAGATTTTTCTACTGGCACTTTCTACACTTTTCAAGATTTTAAGCAAATTTATAATGTAAATTCAAATTTCCTTGAATACCATGGTGTGGTCTCTGTGGTTAAGTCATATTTAGCTAGATCTGACTTTGTAAGAACATGTACCTCTCAAGTTTTTCCAACCATTCCAAGTAGTATTGAGTGTTTTGTAAAAAAAGGAAATGGGTCAAAAGATATATATAATCTTTTAGTAAAAAACGATATAATTTCTACTGGGAGGAAAAGATGGGAAGAAATATTAGAATTTGATGTTCTAAATTGGAGGGATATTTATAAAAATTGTTTTCGTGCAACAAAAAATACAAAACTTCAATGGTTTCAGTACAGAGTGGTTCAACACATCTTAACAACAAATTTATACATGTTTAAAATTCGACTACTGAATAACCCACACTGTACATTCTGTAACTTAGAAAAGGAGACAATTATTCATATTATGTGGGAATGTCCAGAAGTTCAAAAATTTTTAGAAAGTGTAGAAGTTTTGCTGGAGGCTCTTTTTATTCCATTTTCCTTCAATAAAATAAGTTTTCTGTTTGGTTTCATTGCTAATAAAAATCAGTTAATCAGTAGCAAACTTGACAATGAAATCTTAATTATCATTAAATATTACATATATAAGGCAAGATGTCAACACAAAGCCTTAATTGTATATAGTCTTATTTATTCAGTCAGGGAATTTTATACCTTTCAGAAATATATTGCCAATAGTAAAGGTGAACAGGCACAGTTAAGTTTTAATGAGGAATGGAGAAAATGGAGAAAATTATTGGAATTGGCCAATTCTTAACTTTAAATACATTTACTGTCATGTAGTATGTTTTACCGTATTTTAGTATTCTCTGTCTTTACAGTATAGCAGGCCCCTTGCTTACCCTTATAGTATTTATTTATTTATTTATTTACCAGGTATTTTTCTTTATACTTGAGTCCCTATTGTTTCGCTGATTATTGCAATTTTTACTAACCCAGATCACCTCACTCTCTCTCCCCCCCTCTCTCTCTCTCTCTCTCTCTCTCTCTTTCTCTCTTTTTCTCTCCTCTTTATCTTTATGTGTAGTATTGATGTATGTGTAGGAGTGGGTGTGTAAGGGTAGTGTTGTGATGTTAGTAAGGGTGTTGATGAAAATGCCAGGCGATGATGGTGGTGATGATGATGATGATGATGATGATGATGATGATGATGATGATGATACAACTTAATCAAGATTATGGTGATGTGTGAGTGAGCATATTGTATGTTGTATGTTTGATGATGTTTTGTTGATGTAATTGTTATGTACATTAAAAACTCTTGAAAAATAAAAAAAATAAAAAAAAAAAAAAAAACATGCAGGTATTGAACCAACATTTTTGGATAGAAATAAAACCTATTTTCTGGCATCATAGTGTGTGCTTATGCAATATTCTTACTATTTCATAATAATATCTTGATAAAAACTAACACTGATCATTCATTGTTGACAGTGTAGCCCTTAAATTAAGTTGTGACCATTCCCATGCCCCAATTACTTACCTTGCAATATTAATGATAACTTAATCACAGTAGCATTAATCATACATTTCTACAGTTTTTATAGTTAGGTCATATTGAGGCATTGTCATTGTAATTACACAGTTTTAAATTTGTCTCTTAAATCAAAAAGGAGAAATAGAATGATTTATTCAAATATTTTTTCTGTAATTTTAAGAAAACGAGATAAATACTTCATTATTCAGGTTACGAGGATGCTACCCAATGTTTCTTCTGCGGTGGATGTTTAAAAGAATGGGAAGAGCATGATGACCCATGGGTGGAACATGCCCGGTGGTTTCCTGATTGCGGTTTTGTCATCAAAAACAAGCAAAAAGGATTTGTCAATTTGGTACAGGAGAAACTAAGGCTTAGATTTGCCGAATCAGTAAGTACACAACCAAATGGTTTCAGAAAATAACTAATGAGATATCAGAGATGTAATGCATTTAATTATATTGTCACAGTATTATGTTCAGTGCTGCCAATGCAACACCTTTAATTTCAGTTATAAGTTTATGATATATTTATCTTGTTCACAATATTAGATATATTTCCATTGGTGTAGCAAAGACAACTTTGTCAGCAGCAGGACTCGTATCTACAGCAGCAGCAACACAACCCCATCAACAATCTACAAGCTTCTAAAGGGACCGAAATTTTACCAGAGGAAGTGAATCTGCCTCACTGTTCTGGCAGAGACTGTATCAATCCTCCTGTACATCCTCAATATGCTAGCCATTCTGTTAGATCCTATACCTTTAAAGAGACCGATGACCTACGAGGATCAAAAATGGCTGAAGCTGGGTTCTTTTACCGAGGTACGTTTGGTGTTAGTCTTCCAAGATAAAACTTGTCTTTAGGATATTTTATGGACCGTCTGTTTGTTGATGTATGATCAGTTGACAGGTGTGTTTGAAAGTCCCTTCATTCTTTTATTTATTTTAACTGCTATATTATAATTTCTAATAAATTTTAAGGTTCCACACTTACCAATTTGCTCTACAAAATGGTATGTATGCATCATTTGTCATTGTAAGGAGATGGCTTTCATGTACTATGTCTTTCCCCAAATGAAATTGCCATCAACAGTATGTGTTACGAATCAGTTCTTTTAATATATTCAAGATTGTACAAAAAAACCCATCAATGAATATTACATATCGATGCAAATGTAGAAGTAGATAAATAAGAGTCAAATTATTATCAATGTTTAGCAGGAATAAAATTATCATGAACGCGATGATAAATGATATCATATTATTTATTGCAACAGCAACGTAAGGTTATACATGATAAGAGTCTTTTTGTTAGTAAGTCAATCAAGAACTGTTTAACTGACTTCAAATCATTTGACAAAGCAGCAACTAATATAATAAGATTAATAGTGTGTGACCTTCCACACACATTTATGTTCCGAGAAATATCTTGACAAAAAAGGCTTAGAACTATTTAGGTTCATATATTTCATTGGTTTTATATCTGAGAATGTCATAGTTATCATTTCTAGTAAATGACGTTCCAGCAAGCGTGAATTTCTGTATTGATTAGTGTTCGTGCCTGTCAAACAACCATATGAAATAAGAACCCTTTGTAAAGCACATTTGTACATTTGATTTTTACCTACACATCATTTCCTAATAAATTATCAACTGTCCCCTTCCGAGAGACATAACTCTGTTATGTGTATTTCTATTTTTAGATGCAGTTCAAATGTTCTTGTGGCTTTGTATACTTTATTTTGTGCATGTACTATATCCCCCACTTGTTTATATTTAGATATTGACTGGTACTGCTTTAATATGTTTACTGAAGAGAGCATGGAATAGGTCTGTAATAGGTGCATTAGAAAAACACAACAGCTTGCTTTCAATCATATCCTTTAAACACAATATAAGAATAAAAGTCATACAAAAAAAAGTATCATTGTCCAGTTCAAGGGACACAACTCTTGCACTTTACAATTCACAAAAATTCAGCACTTGGTTATCTTGTTATATCAAATCAGAAATGATCTTTACAAGATCAGGACGATGTACCAGGTATATGGACATCTGTCATTCTCTTGCTAACCTGATAAATAGACCATAATACAATGCACCAGGTATATGGACATCTGTCATTCTCTTGCTAACCTGATAAATAGACCATAATACAATGCACCAGGTATATGGACATCTGTCATTCTCTTGCTAACCTGATAAATAGACCATAATACAATGCACCAGGTATATGGACATCTGTCATTCTCTTGCTAACCTGATAAATAGACCATAATACAATGTACCAGGTATATGGACATCTGTCATTCTCTTGCTAACTTGATTAATAGACCATAATACAATGCACCAGGTATATGGACATCTGTCATTCTCTTGCTAACCTGATAAATAGACCATAATACAATGCACCAGGTATATGGACATCTGTCATTCTCTTGCTAACCTGATAAATAGACCATAATACAATGTACCAGGTATATGGACATCTGTCATTCTCTTGCTCACAAGACCAATACATAGTAATACAATGTACCAAGTATATGAATATATGTCTTTCTCTCTCACATGACAAATAGACAATAATACGATGTACCTGGTATATGAACATCTGTCTCAGATCCCCACAGACAGACGATTGGAATCCTCATCTGGACATGACATGATGAGAATATGTCTGCATTGTTTATACAATAACTGCTCTTGGTTGAGTTTTATGTTCTCTGATGTTTCATTCAAGTCTCCTTGTCTTGTACAGAGTCCATCGTGTTGAATGCTTGGTCATGAAATAGTGGTGTAAAGCATGTTTTCGCAAAAAAATGTATAACTGTGACAAGATATTTCTGCCACATCATATGGAATGAAAACTAGTGTTAAAGACATTGTATCTAGTTCAAGATCCGTGGAAATAATACTTATCGCTTCTATTCAGTGCACACATATTTAGAAGACTTCACAGTAGAGGTAGGTTCGACTCTGTCAAATCATGAAGTCCACCAACTTTACGAAGTTGAATCGCCGCAACAACTTCTAACCAATTATCTTTAAAAAGAAAACTGTAAATGTTTCTACAAAGCGTGTGTTCATGTGCTACTACTTAAAAAGAATAGTCCATATTACTGCTCTATTTAATGCTTTCAAAGATATCCTAATGTATTTCATATTGAACAAATTTAAGGTGAAAGTCTTCAGTGAAAACACATTTTGGGGTACCAAAAGGGTATAGATAAATAACAAAAATAATTTACTTTTTTTAAATGAGCTAAACCAACCATGTCATTTCTATTTTTCAAAGCATGTAAAATTAAACCAGAATATAAAAAAGGATTGGAAAATGACAGAAACTTACTTGTTAAATTAAGATTTTTCATGTAAGATGAAGGATTTAATCATGGGGTTCAGGGAGAGCTAAAACAACCAAAATACAAATTAAGGAGGTCAAAATCCGAATATATTGGGGCCCAAAAAGGGACTTATAGACAATAATCTCTTCAGATTTGGTTTATATTTATTTAAAACGTTATTTCTGTAGGTCATGGTGTTATCATTTGCTTCAATTGTGGACATCACTTTACCTTGGAACAAGCAGACAATTTGTGGATTGAACATGCACGATGGCTTCCAGAATGCTTTTTCCCGAACGCTGAACAGGGTCAAAGCTTTGTTACAGATAGCCAAGCAACATTTGAACAGTTGGTAGGTACATGTATATAATTTACTTTCAAAGTTTGGAGTAAACGTACCTGTGTAATGTTTGTACATGAAGAAGAAAGGAATAAAATGAAATAACGATAGATTTCTCAATATCCCGTGATGGAAAAGCTCATATATCCATATTCTTTTTTTTTCTTGTGCTTATCAGAGCTATTTTGAAACTAATAATATAACTTGTGTTGAAGCATGTTTTCAAACAATATCCAGATGTTGAAGTCTCATTCTCGAAGTCAAAATATCAAGATTCACCATAATTGCCAAATATTGGTGAGCTACCAAAGGACGATATCTTGACTTCTCAAATTGCATTTAGGAAATTGGTGAGTTTGCAATTGCAAATGACACACGTCTCCAGACCTCACAACACCGCTTAATAAGAACATATCGTCACAACAACTTAGAGACCAGTAATCCACAGTCACCAACGGCAACTGGATCTACCGATCACCAGGATCATTCTTTAGACATTTTGGATAATCTGCAGTTAACAATGGCAGCTGGATATAGCAGTCACCAAGAACGTCTGTTAGATGCTGGGGACAACAGGAAAAGAGATATGTCAATGTTCTCTGTAACAAACTTCAAAAGAGGTTGGTTATACCATCGCATTATATGTTGTGATCATGTTAGAAAATAGTTATTACAAATTAACAAAGTTCAATAAAAACAACAACCTGGATAATTACGCTTCAAACAACCACTTATAAAATCTACATACATAGATGAAATTGTATGATTAACAATAATTGCTCTTTCCTTTTTTCTGCAGACAAAGTGTTTATGGAGGATAATGCGAGTCAGTGTAGACCAAAGCCTTCTGTGACTCGAGAGTATTCAACAAACGGTATCCAGACACAAGAGGGTGTACGAGTTAGACTTAGTAACTCTGTCTCGGTGGAGGTAGGTTCTTTATTGAACACACAACTATATCTGTGTTTCGCTGCATAAAAATGGCATATGTAAGTTATATCGTCTGCTTCCTATAATCCTTAAACTTGTGTAAGACATCCTAAATATGGAATCTCTAATATAAATGGATAATACAACTAAACAAAGAAGACAGGCATCCTTAACATGACCTCAAAGATACTACACATAAACTTAGAAGGCAAGGCAGGCATCTTAAACTAGGACGCTATAGATACTAGACATAAAGAATGTGGACAAACTAGTCATCCTAAAGTTGGACAATGACATGAACTGAGGAGACTTAAAAGATATAAAAATCTTAGACGCCGAAGATACTATACATAAAGTAGACAAGGAAGACATCATAATCTTTGACGCAAAGGATGCTACACAAAAACAAAGTTGACAAAGATGACATCGTAGTCTTCATACCAAAGATTACACATGCACAGAGGAGACAAAAGTGTCCTCGTAACCTTACACACTAAAGATATAGCACATGAACAAAATGATCGCAAATTGAAACGTAGGGTACAGTACAAAATATGTGTTGAAATCAATCATTTGATCTATATACATGTTCGATACGATCAAACTTTATACATTTTGACAGTAGCCCCGAGAAATGGATAACATTTGCTCAGTGTATGTTTAAATTTTCACTCTTTATTTCAGGATGAACATGGGCAGCCTTTAAGTAAGTACACACAAACGTAGTATACAAATGATTATGGACACCTAATAACTTTGACTTGGCCATCCTTAAAAAATTATTTGGTCTAAACATGAGGGTGTATTAAAATGTTTTGATTCTTTACACAGTAAAAAGCAAGATTTACAAAGCTTTATGTTTCATCATGGTCCCCTTCCAATGACTCCTTTACTGTTCCGAGAAATGGTTTACATCAACCTCTCTGTGGACCTGATGGATACGGGATTCTATCACAAGTCATAATGCTAAAATAAAAATAATCCAGATCGGCGTTGTACATAAGCGGCAAGGCTCCACTACTGATGGCAACACTTGATTGCTTTGTGTCATCCAACAGCATTTTGGGACCCATCTTGCTTATACTTTTTGACATGTGAAGTTTTGAGATGAAGTATGTGTCGTATAAATCCACATAAAAGGCCTGTGGGTTTTTTACTGACGCAAAAAAGTAATAAATCGGTTTTCCATCATTGTGCACTATGTCAATGTTTACCAGGCTGGTACTGGTTAATGGCCGTCCAGGCCAGGGAGTCATTGTCTAAAGTCCCTTTCCACCATAGAATTCCTTCAAACATCATTTGATAGTTGCTAAAAAAAGGAGAAGACACTATCACTCACATTTCAACCTTCTTGATTTATCTCCGTTACTTTATCATCGATATAAATAATTAGTTTTAACCAACTGACTGATGCATGTCTTTCCTTCAAAGTAGTGACTTAACTATTGCAGCCACCAATGTGGTCCTACATGAAAACAGTAGCTAAGACAAGGACAAGTGGTGTAGATTTTACAATCCTGCAGAATATAGTGAGGCTCAAAGTCTTTGCTATCACCTTGTATTTTAATGATTATTGTTTCATATCTATTTCTTGATGATTTTTTAAGCACGTTATGTGATTAATATTTCAGGACCGTAAAAGTATTTCATATTCATTTTTAAAAGAAACAGCTAAATAGGAATGAGGATAGTCTTAAGAAAACATTTCAAAATGTAGAAGACCAAGAACAGATAGATATTGAAGAATTGGAGGGTAAAAAAAAAAGAACTAGAAAACATTAGGGTAAATAGAATTAAAGGCTGTATTACTCGATCAAGGGCAAGATGGCAAGAAGAAGGTGAGAAGCAAACAAAATATTTTTTTAATATAGAACATAGAAATTCATATCTAAAATTATACCTAGAATTGAAAAAGATAATGTTACATTAACTGATCAAGATGATATTCTTAAGGAGATTAACTCTTATTATGAAAAATTATATGATAATAACTATAATAAAGATGATATTGATCTAACAGATTATTTAGACATATATGATGTTACAAAATTAGATGATAGTGAGGCAAAAAGTTAGGAAGGGATGATTTCTATAGAGGAGGCAGCTAAAACTTTGAAAAACATAAAAAAAAATAAAAGTCCTGGCACAGATGGTTTCACTTCTGAATTTTTTAAATATTTCTGGAAGCAATTAGGGGTTTCCATAGTCAGATCTATAAACTTTGGATATATAGAGGGGATGTTGTCTGTAACTCAAAGAGGTGTAATCACATGTATTCCTAAGGGAGATAAGTCCAGGCAATTTATGACAAACTGGCAACCCATTACTCTTTTAAATATAGTTTATAAAATAGCTTCAGGATGTATAGCTAATTGAATTAAAAAGGTTTTAGATAAGTTAATTAGTCAGGATCAGACAGGATTTCTTAAAGGTCTCTTTATCGTGGAGAACACAAGACTTATATATGATATAATGAAGAATACAGAAGAAAATGATATCTCCGGTATGTTACTCATGTTGGATTTCGAAAAAGCCTTTGATTCTGTGTTCTTGGAGTTTGTAAATAAAGTTATGAAATATTTTGGTTTTGGTCCTGATATTTAAAAGTGGGTTAAATTATTTAATACTAATATTATTGCAACTGTAAATCGGGGAGGGGGGGATTTTTTGCCTTTCATTCTACATCAAAAGAGTCTGCCGCCAAGGGGACCTGATCTCTCCATACATTTTTGTTCTGTGCATTGAAATTTTAGGAATAAGATTAAAAAATAACAAGAAGATTAAGGGCGTAGATGTACGTGGGTTTTTACGGTAGGTAACCTGCCCATTCTAATTTCTCAGTATGCTGATGATACCACACTGATACTTAATGGCTCTGAAATGTCCTTAAAGGAATACATTATTGAGTTAAACACCTTTGCAAAAATCTCTGGCTTGACATTGAATGTTGATAAAACACAGAACTAAATTTAAATTGCTTGGAATTGAGTTTAGTGTGAATCTGCATGAAATTCCCAAGTTAAATTTTGATAAAAAGTTAATTAAGTTAAAAGCACTAATAAAGACATGGAGCAGAAGAATACTCACGCCTATTGGGAGAATAACCCTAATTAAGTCACTCTTATTATCTCAATCATTTATTTACCTCTCTACCTACTCCTAATGAACAGTTTCTTCAAGAGCTCAACACTATCCTTTTTAACTTTTTATGGAAGAGTAAAGTAGACAAAGTCAACAGAGATATCATAACACAACACTATTCTGAAGGGGATCTGAAAATGGTAAATGTAAAATTATTTATTGATTCCTTGAAACTCGGTTGTTAAAAGAGACATGCGAGTGGCAAGTTATTTTTAATTCACACACTGATTTACAAAAGTTATCTATATGTGATAGTGAGTATATTGACGAATGTTAAGCGAAGTGTAAGAATAAATTCTAGAAAGAATGGAAAAAATTAAACGATACTGATTGTGCGAGGGAGAGATAGAAAGGCTAACATGATCACTGCCATTACCTTTATGGTATAACAAAAGTATAACAATTTGAGGAAAAAACAGTTTTTCACAAGTCCTGGTACAATAGAGGTGTAACAATAATTAATGCTTTTGTAAAAGATTCTGGTACAGTCACTTTCTATACATTTCAGGAATTCATAGAGAAGTATCATATCAGTGAAAACTTTCTTTAATATCAGGGTGTAATATCAGCTGTCAAAACAATATAAGGGTGTAATATCAGCTGTCAAAACAATATAAGGGTGTAATATCAGCTGTCAAAACAATATAAGGGTGTAATATCAGCTGTCAAAACAATATAAGGGTGTAATATCAGCTGTCAAAACAATATAAGGGTGTAATATCAGCTGTCAAAACAATATAAGGGTGTAATATCAGCTGTCAAAACAATATAAGGGTGTAATATCAGCTGTCAAAACAATATAAGGGTGTAATATCAGCTGTCAAAACAATATAAGGGTGTAATATCAGCTGTCAAAACAATATAAGGGTGTAATATCAGCTGTCAAAACAATATAAGGGTGTAATATCAGCTGTCAAAACAATATAAGGGTGTAATATCAGCTGTCAAAACAATATAAGGGTGTAATATCAGCTGTCAAAACAATATAAGGGTGTAATATCAGCTGTCAAAACAATATAAGGGTGTAATATCAGCTGTCAAAACAATATAAGGGTGTAATATCAGCTGTCAAAACAATATAAGGGTGTAATATCAGCTGTCAAAACACATTTAAGGAGGCTGAATGTCGAGTACCAGTTGTTAATTTATCCAATTATCCCTAATAATATATTACTTTTCATGAAAACTGATAAAGGGACAAAGAATTTTTATAATGTTATGGTCAAGAATGATCTTATCTCAATTGGTAGGAGAAAATGGGAAGAATTATTTGAAGATTTTGAATTAGATTGGACAAATATATATTATAATCTTTCAAGGCCACTAAAAACACAAGATGTTTTAACAACAAATTTGTTTTTATTTAAACTAGGATTAGTAAATAATCCAATTTGTAGTTTATGTAACCTAGAAAGAGAGACTATAATTAGTATTTTATTGGAATGCAGAGAAAAACAGAGATTTTTGCAAAGTGTGGAGACACTGTTTAAAGCACTGTATATCCCATTTCAGTAAAATAAACAAATCAATCTTTTTGGCGTATTTTTAAATAATAGATGTTCAACAATAAACAGACCAGACAATGAGATATTGATTATTATTAAGTTTTATATTTACAAAACAAGATGTTTACATAATGTTTTAAGTACATAAGCTTTAATTAATACAATTAAAGACCATTACATTTTTCCAAAACACATTGCCAATAGTAAAGGTGAAGGTGCACAGCTGAAATGTAAAAATGAATGAAGTAAATGGGGAAAACTTAAAATAGTTAATCTTCTTTACTTGTTCTATTTCAACCTAGTGTGACAATTTCTGTTATCATTAATCTATGTATTAAAATATTTACATATTATCTACGTGTAGTACAATGTATATATGAATATGATTATTTGTCCCATCTTGAGCTTCTGCAGTTTATCCTATACCATATTATTAGTAATTGAAGCCAGAATACTAATTATTAGAATGGCTGTCTGATCTCTTGTCCATTCATCTCCCTTTCTCTCTCTTTCTCTCCCACTCTCCCTCACTTCCTCTCTTTCTGTTTTCTAGGTTTTTTTTTCTGTCTCTCTTATGAAGTTGTAAGTTGTATATGTATGTGAGGGTGTGTGCGTTTGTAAAGGGGGAAACAGAGGACTTTCATTAGAATCAACACCAACAAAGAAAGGACCTTTCGTAAAGGGAGGACATTTTGGAGGTCCTCTCTTTTCCACCTCCTAATTTTCCTTATTCAGCAATAAATTTTCATTTTTTTTACAAAAAAGCCCGTCCTTTCTTTGTCCCAAAATTGGGCAGTGTGTGATGCTCTTCACACAAAAATATCGATGGTGTGTTTAACTTTCATTAAACTTCGTACACACTTGGCGGGGAAAACTTTTGGGTGCGTATAAAATTACAATTTTAAAAGAAGCGACGCGCAACCTTTTTTCTCGCTTACTCTTACTGTAATAGAAGTATACGGACAGCAATATGCATATACCGAAATAAAACATGGCATTCCAATATTTTAATCTTGAGACAAGTTATATCTTTCGAGCTAGATAAGTACATTTCGTTTCGTCAGATTCCGTGTTCTTTTTCTTAACAATACATAAGCTGACATCGGCTGCGCCTCTCCGAGGAGTGAGGCGCTATGCCTCTTACGAAAAGACTGCGTTCTTTAACAGAGGTAAGTTATCTGTCACATTTTATCTTAACAACGGTAGCTAGCCCCCATGAAAAATTATATAGCTTTCCAACATTTAAAACTGAATTAAATTTGTTAAAAATAGCCTGATTCAACAACTTTATTTCCCACTTGCTTATAATGGCCGCCTCTGTGCGGGATCTCTCTAGATTTGTCATTGTAACTTGACATTCCCGCTCATTTATTTTTGCTATGTTTACAAGCACAAATCTGGAGAGATTCCGCATAGTGACGGTCATTTCAAATAATAAAATAAGTGGAAGTAAGTGTACATAGTTTACAACATCTAATTGTTTTGATACATATGCACGTACACTGTAGGTAGAAAAATGTTTTATCTTTCCATCGACGTATAATTTATAAATATCGCGTTGTCATGAATTATCTAAAATATTGCTTGAACGCCGACCCTTGCAGTTCGCGTTTTTTTTGTAAGGAAGAATACTCTAACTATTGTTCGCGACCATGTCAAAAATAAAATCGTGGTGAGATAGTCAGAACCCTTCAGACTACTCTTGCCTTAATTAAGGGGTTAGGCCGATTACAGGTGGTTCACACCTCCTTTGTTTATATAATTCTAAGCCAGTGCCCTAGTGTCTGGGTTGAGTGGGCTGACTGTAATATATTATATATCAATGTATGATGAGGACTTTTTACTTCCCCCACTGCAATTTTGAAATTGCACCTGATGCATGCATGTATAATGCTAAACTGCAGTAGTTTAATCTGTGTCCAACATATTGTCTGGTAAAGCAGCCAGGAGAGAACACATTTAACTTGTCAAAATTCATTATACATGTAACTTA